TTGGTGTTAAATAGTAATATCTGGACATGGCAATGAGATGTAAATTGCCTTTTCGTATCTATGGTTCCCATAAAGTTTTGTTGAAATCAATACAGCAGTTGAAAAGAAATAGCATTATTGCTCTATATGTATACAACATAACTTATCAAGGGCCATAACTCTGTAAAGAAGGGTCTGGTCTGAACAAGGCAACAAAGTATGCACATCTCATCTTGGTATTAATGGTTCCAATAAAGTTTAATTGAATTCGAGCAAGTAGTTGCAGAGAAGTCGCTCAATATGCATACTGCATACCTAATTAAGGGCAATAACTTTGAGTTACTGTCTGACAAGAACAAGGCAATGATATGTGCATCTACTCTTGGTTTTGAAGGTTCCATAAAGTTTGACCTATATGCATACTGCATAGCTAATCAAGGGCCATAACTCTGAGTAAGTGTCTGACCTGAACAAGGCTACTATATGCGCATCTCCTTTTGGTATTGAAGGTTATAACTCTGAGTTAAAGTGTCTGACCCGAACAAGGCAACAATATGCAAATTTCCTCTTGGTATTGAAGGTTCCAATAAAGTTTTGTTGACATCCAGCCAGTTGTTGCAGAGAAGTAGCCCAGAAATGATTATTGTTCTATATGCATACTGCATAACTAATCAAGGACCATTACTCTGAGTTAAAGCGTCTGACCGGGACAAGGAAACAATATGCACATCTCCTCTTAGTATTGAAGGCTCCCATAAAGTTTCGTTTAATTCAAACCAGTAGTTGCAGGGCAGTAACATGGAAACAATTTTTGCTCTATATGCATACTGTATAACTAATCAAGGACCATAACTCTGAGTTAAAAAGTCTGACCCGGACAAGGAAACAATATGCACATCTCCTCTTAGTATTGAAGGCTCCCATAAAGTTTCGTTTAATTCCAGCCAGTAGTTGCAGGGCAGTAGCATGGAAACAATTTTTGCTCTATATGCATACTGTATAACTAATCAAGGACCATTACTCTGAGTTTAAGTGTCTGACAGAAACAAGCTGACAATATGCGCATCTCCTTTTGGTATTGAAGGTTCCCATCAAGATTCGTTGAATTCCAGCCTGTGGTTGCAGAGAAGTAGCACGGAAACGATTTTTGCTCTTTATGCATACTGCATAACTAATCAAGGACCATAACTCTGAGTTAAAGTGTCTGACCAGAACAAGGCGATATGCCTATCTCCTCTAAGTATTAAAGGTTCCCATAAAGTTTTACTGAATTCCAGCCAGTAGTTGCAGAAAAGTAGCTTGGAAACTATTTTTGCTCCATATGCATTATGTTAAACTAATCAAGGGCCATAACTCGGAGTTAAAAGGTCTGCCTGAAACAAGCCGACGATATGCACATCTCCTCTTGATATTGATGATTCCCGTAAAGTTTCATAGAATTCCAGCCAGTAGTGACAGAGAACTAGCGCAGAAACGAAATTCAAACAGATGGGTGAATGGACGTACTCACAAAATGGTACTTATGTGACTTTTCCTTTGATCTTTTTGGCCATTTTTAGTCAAACAAGTAAAAACGGAATGAATAGGATCAAAGAGAATTTACTGTTACCCATTGTTCTCCAAGTCACACAAGTACCTCTGGGTTCGTACGGAAGGACAGACAACACCAAAACAATATCCCCCAATCTATCGGCGGGGGATAACAAGAGCCGGTTGAACCGGGTGATGCTCCCCAAATAGGTTTTGGACACAGGAAGGTATGTATACCTCTTGTAATGTCAGAGTTATGTCACAGACAAAGTTCAAAGTTTAAAAACAACCCAAATGTTGTGCGCGACATTGTCTCAATATGGTCAACATTTCTGTGCAAGTTATTGACCCAAATGTTGCGCATGACACGTCATTTCAATATGGTGATCATTTCTGTGAAATAATTTTAAAGTCCAACTCCAAATAACGAAGATATGGGCAGGACATGATTTTGCTGCAAGGTCATGCTGTGACCTTGACCTTCAAGGTTAGCCACCCAAACATTGCGCATGACATGTCTTCTCAATATGGTGATCATTTCTGTGAAATAATCTTAAAATCTGACTTCAAATAACAAAGTTATGGGCCGGACACTGCACTGAAATATTAGATTTTTTTCCCGTCCATTTCCTTAAAATTGACCTCTCTCCGGGCCACAATGTAATGATCTCTCAAAGTATAAGCTTTTCTGTAAAAAAATCAATATTTATATAACCAGTTTACTCAGCAACTACCAGTAAACAAATGGAAAATCAAAGTACAGAAAGGGAAACAGGCTATTTTAGATTTGTTTGGCTGTTTTCGCCAGGTGAATTAGGGTCAGAGATATTAGAAATACGCTACAGAATCAAAACAAACTGGGTACTGAACCTTTGACTTGCTTTTTTATTTATTCAAAGATTTTATTTCCATTGGGTAAATTGGTCAAAATTATTGGGCAATTACCCAGATACCCTGCTTTTCTGTAGCTCTGACTGTTTTCTTAATTTGACATAAACTGTCATTTAATGCATACACAGAATCATTAATGGTCACAGATCACGCATTAGTCACAGTCTGCAGTTTAAGCGCTTCCGTAAGAGAGACGCTCTGATTGGCTTACAGCCCTACAAATGGGTGGGTAATAAGTCATCCTCTGCTGTTTGGGATTTAGTATTTTCGGCAAAGACGTTTTGAAAGAACGAAAATGAGAGAAACTCAGCAAAACTTATTCACTGATTTGTGATCAGCAATAAGTTTAAGTTTTGGTTATGTGGGAGTAATGTTGTTTATTGTGTAATCACAATTTCTTGTTCAAAATAATATTTTGACACTTGAAATTTTGATTGAATGCGTAACCATGTGATTTTCATGCATAATTTACGCATATACGCATCATATCTGGAGCCCTCCGCATATAAGGAAGATCAATGACCCCAATGGCCAATTTTAGCCCAAAGGCCTTTATTTGAACAAACTTGATAGACACCAATTAGAACATGTTCATGCTAAATATTTTAGCTCTAGCTCTTTGGGGTTTTTAAAAGAAATTTTTTTAAGTTTTTACTATATATAAAAACAATGACCCCCATAAGGCGGACTTTTATTTGATTAAACTTGGCTAGACACCCATTAGAAGATATTTTATGCTAAATATCTTAGCCTTAACTCTTGGGGGTTTTTAAACGAAGATTTTTTAAGTTTTTATTATATACAAATAAGGAAAATCAATGACCCCCTGGAGCATGGCCAATTTCTTACCCCAGAGCTTTAATTTGAACAAACTTGGTACACTAAAAATAGGATGTTTCATGCTTAATATCTAAGCTCAAGCTATTTGGGATTTTTAATAGAAGATTTTTTAAGTTTTTATTATACAAATAAGGAAAATCAATGACACCCCCCAGGGCAGTGTCAATTATGACCCCAGGGCATTTATTTGAACAAACTTGGTAGACCCTCACTATAAGATGTTTTATGCCATATATTTACGCTCTCAAACTTCTTTCAGAAAGAAGATATTTTAAGTTTTTTCTTTTTGTTGCCATGACAACCAAGTTCTGCTTGGAATTAAATTCTTTGAACATTTTTTAAAATTGACTACCAAAGGAACATTCCTGTTGAGTTGGATGAAATAAGCTTAGCGGTTTATGAGGAGATGTTGTTAAACAGTTTTACGGACGACGGACGACGGACGAAAAGCGATCACAAAAGCTCACCATATCACTTTATGACATGTGAGCTAAAAATACCATGGAAAATTTTAGTCAGGTCCATGAAAAAAAGCTTACATATCAAACTAATAGTGACCAAGTTATGCTCTGGACAAGCCTATTAAGTAAGAAAATTAACTAAGGGCAACGCGTATAAAAACATGAAGTACAAAGTACCAATTCTTGTGCACTGCACTTCTTCTTAATGAGATCTATCATCCTATGAAATTTCAAGTCCATAGCTTTTATAGTTTAGGTGAAATGGCTGGGACAAAAATAAAATAAGAAAATTAACAAAGGGCAATTATTCAAAAATCACGGAGTACAGAGTACCAGCTTTTGGCAGTGCATTTCTTCTCAATGATATCTATCATCCTATGAAATTTCATGTCCATGATTTTTTAAAGTTTAGTAGAAAAAGCCCGGACAAAAATGAAATACGAAATTTAACAAAGGGCATTTACTCAAAAAATAAGAAGTGCAGAGTACCGGTTCTTGTGCACTGCACTTCTTCTTAATGAGATTTAACATCCTATGAAGTTTAAAGTCCATAGCTTTTATACTTTATGAGAAATGGCAAAGACAAAAAAAAGGTATGAAAATAAACAAAGGGCAATAACTCAAAAATAAAGAAATGCAGAGTAACGATTCTTGTGAACTGCACTTCAAGTCATCATAAGAAGCATGCATACCAAGTTTGGAGTCAATCCGACTTATAGTGACTGAGTTCAGCTCCCCTGGACAAGCTTAAGGGGATGCCGACAATGACAGCTACAAGCCGCCAAAAGTAACACCTAAATGTCGCCTTTTTCATGGTGACACAATAAGCACCTGCTTCCACAATCTGAAATTTCTGTACAAATGTTTCTGTTTTTTTCTGTTAGATTTTAAAACATAAATACAGTGACTCTGCAATAAATGTTGCTGTGAGACCTCAGGTGCTGCTTCAAGCATGCCAGTGAGAGCAAGGTATAAAAAACCTACCAATCTTGACACTACTTTTCAAGCACTTCTCAAACAGGTGACAAAATAACTTAATAACAGCATGCTAAACTAAACGTTATATATATTATATATGACTGGGGTATAGGTAACACAACACCAACTACATGCCCCACAAAACTCACTTAGACATCACATCTTGCTTTTTCTGTTCATCAGATGTTGGTAAACCCATTTCTTTCTGCCGTTGATCAAACATCATTTTTTCTACCATTGACCTAGTTTCCCCGTCTAGATCTGATAACTGCAATTTTCAGCAAATCATTTTAACATCTATGATTAAAATAACAAACTTACTTGTCCATTATATCCTTCTTTTTGGCATCCTCGGAGGTTGGAAGACCAAGCTCCCGTTGCCTCTGATCATACATCATCTTCTCGACAATGCCACGAGTTTCCCCATCCAGGTCAGATAACTGCATATACGCAGTAAAAAATCAGTTAATATTTTTTTAATTTTCTAAAAATATTGACATCATAGTCAATTTCTTTGGATATTTAATAATAATTTTGGCACCATGGTTAAATTTGTTTTAATATTTTCAAAACCAATGCACAACAAAGTCAATCTCAACAACTTTGATATAAAACAGCATTACCATATTAAACAAGACTTTTTATTAAATTTGTATTTTATTATCATATTATTGTATTATCACATCGGTTTAACATAAATTTCCTCAACTTTTCTGTATCAACATTGAAGAAAAAAAATTGAAAACCATTTCAACCATTAATTTGATTAAAAACATTTTATCTCAAAAACAAAATGTATTTGAGAGTTGATTTGTGTTTTGATTCAACAATTGTGTACCTATTTATAATGCAAAGTTAAACTGCAATCAATCTGATTGATGGCTACCGCAGTTACCTCTCTTGAATTAAAAAATAAAATCTAATAGATCTGTTTGTTTGTTTGTTTGTTCCATTTTACGCCTTTTCCCAACAGTATTTCAGTCATATAGGCGGATAGTTTCCTAACCATCATTCCTGGAGAGTTACACCAGTACTAGACTACCTTCCTCCGCGCTAAACTACCAAAGCATCTCCCGGGGATCGAACTCACGCCAGAGAGGTAACTGGATTAGAAGTCATCGACTCTAACCCCTCGACCACGGAGGCGGTCACTCTAATAGTTCTGACATACATTATAAGCAAAGACTATAATTGTACACAAGATCTGGCATTTCATATTCTTTAATTTTTGAAAATAAAATTACATAATTGTGAGGGTCTGAGATTTTAAAGAAATTTTCTACGCTTCATAGATCAGATATTTGGCATGACAGAAACCAACATATAATGTTCACTGACCAATTAAATTCTGAGATTTAAGATAGAACTCAAAGTTTTATAACCTTGATCCCAAAATATGATCTATATGCAAAATAAAATACATGTATAAAGAACTTGTTAAGATATAATTCAAATTATCAAAATGTCTTATTGTTCAGTTAAAGGGAGACAACTGCTTTCTCTAAACTATTACCGTTCTGACTATCTATGACTACTGCAGACTAATTATTTGTTTGTTTTCTGGGGGGAAGGGGTGGTGGGGGGTGGGGGGATTACGCGGATTTTAACATAATTTTTGGGTCACATCTTGGCAGTCAATCCACCAAACCAGTTTTCCTGGATAACTAACCAGTAATTACCAATTTCTCCATGATTGACCTGCTATATAACCCACCAGGATCAGTGGTGAGTGACAAATGATTAATTATAAGGCTCAATGTTTGAGATCAAAAGTAACAGAGAAATTTTGCCTTGCCCAAGGAAACAACCGGTGACCCCCGTTACCAGAAGACTAATTTAACAATTTGATCTGCATATAAAAATAAAACATTTTGAATATTATCTATTTTCTAATCAGATGTTAATTGACAATGTGCTACAAGATGTACAATTACATATTTGGATCAGGGTAAATTGAAGAAAAAAAAAGGAACCTTAGAGTTTTCTGGCTGAACTTTTTTAGTATTGATTTCTGGGTCTGTCGTGACAACCTGACTCCACCATTCCATTTTGTTCACCTGAAATCATATAAAAGTCCTAAATTGTATCTGTAATTACCACATATTAAAACAGTTATGATCATGTCAAAATCCATCACTGTGCAGTCGTATTTACAGCCAATTTGGGGCCAAAATTTATGCCTCTCCACAAAGTATAATTTTCCTCTTTTTCTGAAAAAAAACCCAACAAAACAACGTTCTTTTTCAGAAGCATTTCATTGAACATTGAAAGACAATGACATTTTAAAAGGTATTTCTCACAATTTAACATAAAATGGACTTTTTCATTCGTTTTTTAATTTCCAACTTTCTCCCTTCCCTTTCAACAAGTAAAGATGACTGTTATAAGTGATTGCCATCTTCTGATGCTGTTTGCAATTTTAATATAAAAGTTTAAGGGTAACAGATAACAGTTAAAGGATTAACACAATACCTAAAGTAAGATGTAATAAATATAAGGCTGAATATACCTTCTCAAAGAAGAGTTTAACAGCTTTTCTATCTTCTATAGTCCATGTGGATTCCTCTAGTTTAACGTCATGCTGTAGTTCACCATCTATTATTGCTGGATGCCCCTTTAATGCTACCTTCACATGCTGTCAACAATGATCAAGTTCAAACTTAATTGGAGAAAATTTACAGAAACAGTCTTTCATTATCATTTTTTTTCAAGCATAAATGAAAAGTTTTTTTTCTTTGTTGTTGTTTTTAAGTCACACCAACAGAGAAAAAAATCATTATCTTTATGAATTCAGTCACAACAGGGAACCCCAATAAAATCACTAAACTATCAAAACTAGATAAAAAGCTTTCTTACAATGAAGAGTAGAATTTTGTACCCCCAGTGATGTGGGACAAGTGACGTGAAGGTCACCTTGCCAATTGGCTATTTAGACACAGGCTTTCTTTTAATTCTAACCATGTTGATATTTGTATAATAGATTTGCCAAGCTTTAAATTTGAAACTGTCTATTATGAATTTCCGGGATAGTAACCTGAAACTAATTTCCACTGGCCCAAACTATTTTTCAATGGCCATGGGCCACTGGGCCAGTGCTAAATTCGATGACTGTGTTTAACTGTAGAAATTGAAAACTTATTTAATGAAATATCTCTACTTAATAAAAATGAAAAATTAATATCAAACAGTCCAAACATGTTTAGACAGCACAGATGGCTAGACTATATTGTCAACAGCAGGCTAATAGTTTATTCTGCATAGGTAAAGTAAAAAAAAAAACAGTGCAAAAAGTATAGATTTTACAATGGCAGCCAAATTGGATTTTGTAATGGAGATATATGTAGATCACTTTAATTAATAAAAAAAAATTGTGTTATAAATGTTCAGCAGATAAATTATATCAAACTTCTTGTTTACCTTTTTCTCCATCTGAACAACAAGGTCTTTACTTTTTACTGGGAAATTCACATTTAAAGGAATCATTACTGTAACAACAATGAATATCAAAATAAAAAGGCAAAACAGTATAACCTTGTTTTCATTCAAAAAGATTTTAAAAAAAAACATATTTTAAAAGAGCCCGGTTTGAACCAGTTGATGCTCCCCGAATAGGTTTTTGACACAGGAAAGTACACCTCTTTTAGTTTCAGAGTTATGTCCCTGGACAAAGTTCAAAGTGCCATAGTTCCAGAATTAGGCAAGGCAGAGTTACTATTCTTTGCACTGGACTTCTAATAAATAAGATCTATCTACCTACAAAGATTCTTGTTGATACCTCTTATGCTTTCTGAGTTATGTCCCAGACAAAGTTTAAAATGTAAGAATGAACAAAGGAAAATATAACTCAAAAATAAGCCAAGGCAGAGTTATGTTTCTTGTGCAATGCACATCTACCCATTAAGATGTATCTACCAACAAAGTTTCATGTTGATATCTCCTATAGTTTTAGAGTTATGTCCCGGACAAGTTTTTTCTAAAAGGGGACACAATTCCAAAACGGGGCAAAACAGAGTTATGGTTCTTTTGCACTGCATTTCTACCCAATGAGATCTATCTACCTACAAAGTTTCATGCTGATATCTCTTATAATCTTAGAGTTATGTTACGTACAAAGTTCAAAGTGTAAAAATGAACAAAGGGCAATAACTCCAAAATTTGGCAAGGCAGAGTTACGGTTCTTGTGCACTGCACAGCTACTCATTGTGATCTACCTACCTACAAAGTTTCATGTTGATATCTCTCTTATAGTTTTAGAGTTATGTCCTGGACAAGATTTTTCTAAAAGGGGAGATAATTAAAAACGATGCAAAATAGAGTTATGGTTCTTTGACACTGCACTCCGCCTCAATGCCCTCTACCACTGTGTGAAGTTTAAACAAATTATCTCCAAGGGTTTTAAAGCTATGCTCCGGACAAGACAACTGACGGACAGAAGGACAGACGGACGGACGGACAAGGTGGCTACTAAATTTTCTCCCTTTGGGGAGCATAAAAAATAAGTAAGCATTAAAAATAAGACAAGCCAAGTCAAGAATGTGACCATTAGACTACTAGAGTGTTAACAAACTAAATGTGGTCGGACTACGGACATTCAAGGATCCTGAAAGCTTACCATGAGCTAGCTTAGATGAACTAAAAAAATGTAACATTACAATAACAACATTCTCATTATATTATGTGTCATAATATTATACATTTATTTCTCTTTAAGAACATGAATAACTGTACAGATTAAAACTAACTTCTAATTCAGACAGAGTCTGTGTCCAGCTATATTTTTCAAGGTCTGCTCCGTTTCCAAAGTTTGGTTTGATCTTCCCTTTAGCATCCTCATCTTCTTCTTCATCATCAGACTGTTCAAATATACAAGTAAATAAATTTATTGGTAAAATGTTCTCTTAAAATACTGTAAAAAGGGTAATAAAAATAGATAGAAATAGATGTAACAACAAGGCAGTCTAAAAACCAAAGTCATATATTTATATCTAGCTGCCAATGTCTTCAACTTTCATAACATTTAATTTGTTTTTCAATGAGTTAAACATTCATCCTAGGTTTGATGATTTTTTTTTAAAGATGCGGTGGACATAAAAATGTAAAGTACAGTCTTGACTTTTAGTTTCAACTGTCTGTTGTGCTCTGTTTTCTGCAATGTCTAAATGTGTTAATTATTTGAGCCATATTGCTGTGATAAGATAAAACATCTGACACAATTATCAGAATTATAGGTGTAATAGAGCAGACAATAAACAATATTTGTTCAGTAATAGCAGCTCAAACAAGTACATCATCACATGACCTTGAGAAATAATCACACTCAATGTAAAGTGAAAAATAAATTATTTTTTATCACAATAAACATTGGTATTAATTTTTCAACTTTATATCTCAGCAAATATCATAAGCTTTGAAAATAAAACCCCAGAATCAAAAGGATTCATCTTGTAGTCATGACCAACGTCCACAACAAATCTTTGGCCAAAGCATTTTCTTGTAATATTAGACATGCTTGTTTGTTTCATTTTACGCCTTTTCCCAACAGTATATGACAGACATGCTTTTGCTGTTCAATGCTACAGTGACGTAAGCCCTAATGGCCACAAAGTCAATACAGGTCATCTACTAGATATCACCAACCTCCACACAATATCTTTGTACTCTAGGCCAAAGGGTTTTCTAGTTATTGGTCGGACTAGATGCCACATACAAACAGACAGATGGACTGACAGACGCTGTGTACAGCATTTTATCCATTTCTTTGACGTGGGCATGAGAATTACATTTTTTTTATAATTAAATTCTAAGACTACAGAAAGTGTGGGTAAATATGCAATAAAAATCACTATCGACGATCTATTTTTAGACATGTGACATAACCATTAAAAATGTGACTCGCTGAAAATAAGTAGGGAAACAAATCAGGGATATCAGGTACGCAGCGTTTTTTTTTTTGATGCTGTGTTAGAATCAAATAATATATCCCAAGCAGTGATTTTTATCACCTTATAAAATCAATGTCGTTTGGATGTGATATAATTCCTCGCATCCAAAATATGATTTTATTATAAGTGATAAATCACTGTTGGTGATATATTTTTACCTTTTTATCTTCTTTGCCCTCTCCATCTTTAGTTTTGTCACCAGTTCCATTTTCTGTTGCACTAGACTCTGGCTCAGATTTTTTCTAAAATAGAGATAGATTTCATATACCTTGACTTAGTACTATAAGACATTTTTTTATTGATATTGTTCTGATGAAGATCATTGTTATAATGTAGACTAGTAGATATTAATAAATTATTTCAACCCATCAGGTGGTGACATGTTGTTACTCTTACTTTTTCCTGATCTCTGTTAAAATTAAAAGAAAGGTAAGTCCATTTGAGATATTTAGTGTGGTAAGAGTTAAACAACAGTTATGCAGGAAATCAGATTTATATAATCATTGTACCGTAACTATCTTAACTTTTACACAGAAGTACAACACAAAACCTTTTCTAATTCTTTTTGTAATTTATCTGCCTCTTCATCAGTTAGCTCTTTAATCTTTGGTTCATCTTTTGCTTTTTCTTCCTCTTCTTTTTTTCTTCTTTATTCGTTCCTGCCTCCTTCTCTCCTCCTCCTCACGTTCTGCCTTTAATTGTGCTTGTTTCTCTAATGCAACCTTCTCATGCTTCCTGAACTTACTCAATATCATCTAGTCAAATAAATAGATCATTCATTATATTCTTTGTTTGATATAACACTGTGATAATCACTCGACAATTTTTAATTACAGTGAAACATGTGAACAAAGGACATCAAAGAGAGACTGGACATGGCCTGTATATAGAGCATTTTATGGTTACTTTCGTCAATTTCAAAAATTCACGATTGTCAAAGAGTGACCTTTATTTCCAATGTGATCTTTATTAAGAGGTTGTCTTTAGCACAGGTTCATTGTACCATCAAGTTGTGTGGTTTTTGTTTACATTTCCAATGTAAAATTGAGTACACGTTTCATAATTTTCTAAATAAAAAGGTCATACATGTTGTAAAACAGTTACATTTTGGGTATCAAGGGAGAGAATTCCTTTTTATATTAAAGCTTAGTTTACCTTTTCTGACTCCCCTTTCTGTCCCCCAGTATAGAAATCTGTCTTCCTGGCAAGAAAACTAAACATCTTCTCAAGCAACTGAAACAAAAAAAATCATCATTTTAAAATAAATTTAACAGCTTGTTTTATGATAATATTTTTAAAATTTTAAATTTGATTATAGCTTGATTAAATATAAACTGAAAATGCATGTTTTTTTCTGTTTTTAAGTCATATCAACACTATAAAGGTCATATGGCAACATTCCAGCTGTCATTGTTAGCAAAGGAAAATTCTTGGTGCCTCGATGGTCACCATAGTAAAACAACTGACCTGCAAGCTAACTGGATCAATTCCTCACAGGAAAGAAATTCAAATTCCCAGATATAGCCCTACATCAGTGACGGTCAAATGATTCCATAGCAGTGACCTTAACATAACACATTGGTAAAAATGCTTACTTTAAATCAGTAAATGATTAAATGTGTCAGGGATATGCTATCTGTTGAAAGTTAACCTTGAACTGTGGCCCCCAACATTGTTGGTTGCTCATACATTACAGGACACCCTGTGCATGACGTAACTCCCTGAATCCACATACTCTACAGACACATTTATATTACACACCATTGCCTCTAATTTTCTTGAGACCCCTGTTTAGTGCCCATTTGCTCCGAGAAATTACACTTGGAGGTGGAAGTCTCTATAAAAATGCTTGCAATAATGGCAGTCATTCTAAGGATATATACTGGCTACTTTCCTACACACACTGATCAATGCTACCATCAGATTATAAGCAACATATTAATGACTAGTGTCATACTTTACAACAATTAATAGTTTAAACATTATTACATGTATAATCATGAAAGGTTGTAGCTTATTTGAACAACTCTTGCGTCCACACCCACACAGAATAGGACATATGGCACTTTCTAGCTTTACTGGTGGAGGAAGCCCATCCATGCATTACTTCAGTCACAAACGGGCACCTGAGTAGAAGCACTTACATTCCCTAAGCTAGCTGGATAACTTCTCACATGAAAGAATCCAAAGTGACTGTTGGGATTCAACCAGTACTAGTGGCATATGAGACAACATAGGAGATCACACAGTATGACTCAAACTTCAAATTCTTGGGTCATAAGACCACTTCTTCCCAGACATGTGATAATTGCGTGTGGGACTTTAGCATTTCACATCAACAATTAGTTAAGCACAACATACTGGAGTTAACTACACATATGAAGACATTAAACTCCAGCTAGTTACATGATACATGTACAGATATTAGACTGACTAATCCTAAAATTGTGTCATTAAATCCTAGTGACAAGAAAGGCAGCTAAGTTAGAGTGTTTTCTTGTGTAATGCAACCCAGAGATGAGAAACCCACAACCATTTAGGCTACAGAAGATATGTTTATCTTTAAATAATAGGTGAACTTGATCAAGAACAAATGACTGTGATGTTGAGTCACTAGATTTTATGGTAATTCTGCACTTGAAAACATTAGGAAATGTATAGGAAAGAATATCTGATGTTTAGATTTGAGTGTTTTGGCATATAATATGAAATATAACAGAAAACTAGAAATGTGTCCATAGGACACGGGTGCCCTCACACTCCAACAATTTGTCAATCTTATGTCTCTAGGTCAAATATTTTTTTGGCTACATGTGCCCAAGTTGAAAACTGAAATTTTTTTATTAAGTAAAGGGCAAATACTACAAATACTGAATAAATCCACAAGAAAACCCCAAGGTGCATAAGTACACATGGTGACCAACAATCTTGTAAACTTTCAGGCATACAGGTCAAATACTTTTTGAGTTACATGCAACACAAGTTAAATATTGTAAATTTTTACTAAGTCAAGGGCAATAACTCTAAAAATACTAAAATACCCAGGTGCACAACTACACATGCTGAGCAACATTCCTGTAAGGTTTCATGACTATAGGTCAAATACTTTTTTAGTTATGTGCGACAATAAATCCCATTTTTGACATTTGACCTGTTTTATCTTAGATCTACAGCTTTTAAGAAGCATCTACAATATCTCAATGTTAATGAAAAATAATGTCAGTATTATTTCAATATCCATCAAGGAACAGCAATGTTATTGACTGCACACAGATTATTGACCCCATACTTTACGACTTTTGAGACCTAGACCATCCAAATCTTTTTTCACAAAGGCTGTTACATGATCTGTAGTAGGTAAACATTCCCACTGCCCAGCATATTTCCTTTGTTATGAATTCTAAGTTCAAAAATTAAATGGACATATTTCTGGGAATACAGGAGCTTGTATTTTATAACTCTTATCAATATGGCAAGAAGTTATAGCAAAAAATTAACATTTGTTAACATAAATTCCAAGTTCAAGGGGAATAATTCTGGAAATAGTCATGCTAGAGTTATGAACCTTGTCACACCACATGTGTGCAATGATAAGAAAAATATATTTGAAGTTTGAAGCAGATACCTTAAAAAGTAAAGAAGTTAAAATATTTCTTAAAGAAAATTTCAAAGGGAAATAAATATGAAAATATTGCTTCAAGAGTTATGAACCTTGTCACATAAGATGTGGTTGATGATAAGGAAAATGTATTTGAAGTTTACGGTAGATACCTTTAAAAGTAAAGGAATATTGTAAAAAACTAGAACTATTGCTGAATGCAATTCATACCCCCACCAATGTCCTTGACAGAAGATGACTTAGAAAGGTGGTTAAGGGAATAACTTTCGTGACACAAATACATTTACATATAAAGAAATTATCTCTGGTGAAAAAAAGACAAATTGTACAGGTAATAGTACAAATATATATTGTCAAATCATGTTTGAAACAGTTACAAATAACCTTTCATTTTCCCAATGTACTAAAACAAACAAAAGCAGTGAAGTTAAGAAAATAGCATAATTATGTCAAAATGTAATTAAGAGTGAAAAACTTTGCATACTGAGCTTACTTGTGACCCTTCATATATTATATAGTTTCAAGTGAATATCTGTTCTAGTTTCAGAAACATAAGACGCGGTTAATGATAAGGGACATATACATGTATTTGAACTATAAAGTTGATCCCTTAAGAAATAAAGAAGTAACAGTAAAAAATAATATTTTTTAAGGAAAATTCTAAGTTCAAGGGGTAAAATCTGAAAATATTGGTGCTAGAGTTTATGAACCTTGTCACATAAGATGTGGTTGATGATAAGGAACATATATTTGAAGTATAAAGTTGATCCCTTAAGAAATAAAGAAGTTGTATTGAAAAATATTTTACTGCACCAAAACTTTAATCTGAAATCTGGACGCGAACACAGACGCTGGGGCGAGTAGGACAGCTCTCCACATACTTCATATAGTCAAGCTAAAAATCATTACTATACAGGGAAAGACACAATTATGATGAAAGAGCCAAAATTTAATTGCCAATAATAGAATCATGTGTTTTCACACCTACACAGATAAAAAGCAGGCAACCATAAACTGGTAACTGATCAGAACATGCCATATGTTGTGAGTATATCTTAGTCCACATTAAAATACACAGAAAGTTGACACTTAAATTACTGTCCGCTTTTCAGAAGATTTTTTATGCATGTTTAGCATTAGTAGCCATTAGTAATTAACTTTTCAATATTAGGCACGTTATCACTTCAAATGTAAGGCTAATATGAAGTTCACCACAACATTATGAACATAAAACAAGGACATTATACAAAAAGTGCAGTCATTATGAAAAGTCTTCATTTTGAATTGCTGCAACGTAGGTTTCCGAGACATTTATAAAACAAGAAACCTTACAACAACAGAATTTTACATTAGTTATTTTTTGTTCACTAAGTGCTTAGAAGACTGAAGACTGTCATAAAGCTTGAGGTAAAGGGCTTTCCTTTTTTCACATCTAATTTTATTTCAACTAACAAGGCCCCATTTTATGTAAAAAATTATTTTCCCTGTTTTGCTTAAGGTTTTAAAGAAGGATTTTCAATGAACATGAGAAAATGGGGAAAAATTTAAAAATTGTCAATTTAAGTTTTTATTAAACATAAAACAACAACAATAATGTACAATCATAAGCAATATTTTAAGTTTAATATGACATGCTTGGAAAAGAAAAACTAGCATTTTTGATATTCTAACAAGAGGGATTAGTGGTCACATGTGTTGCCTGATGATAGCCATTGAGGGGTGATTGACCAGTTTGTTCCATCACAGATATTTTGCAGCAAGTTGTAGCTACTCTGTAGCAGGAACACAAAAATCAGGTCAAAACACGTTTTTATTCAATGGCAACAACTCAGTCAAACATCATACAACTAGAAAACCTATAAATTATGAACAAGTACCTGATGTATCAATCAATTCTGCAAAGTTTTAATCAAATTGAATGAGTAGTATAAGAGAAGTAGTCCAAACTTTAAACAAGAGCACCGCTAGGCGGAGCATTATATGCCCGAAAGTGATTTTTTTTTTTTAGTAAAGATGAAGCATTTGTAAGACATGGGAATTAAATAAAGTATTACCTCCTTCAAATAACAATCCTCCTTTGAAATTTCAATATTGTGGTCCAAATGGAACTTAAGTTATGCCCCAGAAACTGTTTTCAATTCTAAGGTAATAGTGACCTTGACCTTTGACCTTGTGACCCCAAAATCATTAGGGGTCTTCTACCCAATATGGACAATCATACGATGAAGTTTAAACACAGTAGGCCAAATGATACTTAAGTTATGTTTCGAAAACTGTTTTCAGTTTTAAGGTAATAGTGACCTTGACCTTGTGACCCCAATATCAATAGGGGCCTTCTATCCAATATGGACAATCATCCTATGAAATTTGAATATTGTGGACTAAATGGAACTTAAGTTATGCTCAAGAAACTGTTTTCAATTTCTAAGTAATAGTGACCTTGACCTTTGACCTTGTGACTCTAAAATCAATAGGGGTCTTCTACCCAATGTGGACAATCATCCTATGAAGTTTGAACACTGTGGGCAAAATAGAACTTAAGTTATGCTCTGGAAACTGTTTTTAGTTTTAAGTTAATATTGGCCTTGACCTTTGACCTTGTGACCCCAAAATC